TCACATAACCTTTTAAAAGTTTCGGTTTCTTTCTGTTGTGGTAGAAATGTGCAAATGACCCCATCCCCCAGGTCACACACACAAAAAGATCAGCTAAAGTTTGGTGATGTTGGCCACAAAAAACCCCCTTTCCACAACATATCAGTTAATGGCAAAGAGTTGTTAGGTTGACGGGGAAGAGGGATGGCAGCCCTCACTCAAGATTACAACCATGGTGTATAGCCTCCCAAATTTCTTTGGCAAATGAGGATCTCCCTGCAAAAAGAGTTATACAAACCTACACTGCCATATAATTCAGTTCAAAGCAAATAATCTGGATTTTATATGGCAGTGTAGAAGGAGCCTCATACAACAGCACAACAACAGAGAGGAAACAAACAAGGACATCTAATCACCTCTCAACAAAAGTTTGCTCCAGGCACTGTCAGGCAATTATATGCTAATCAAGGTGGTCAGTTGAAACATTAACACCTAGCTCCAGCAGACAAGAGTCCTTTGTCCCACCCTGGTCACTCCACAGATATATAAACCCTTTTTCCTAGTTCCAACAGACCTCACTACCTCTGAGGATGCTTGCCATAGATGCAGGTGAAACGTCAGGAGAGAATGCCTCTAGACCATGGCCATATAGCCTGAAAAAACCTACAACAACCCAGTGATTCCGGCCATGAAAGCCTTCTACAATATATTGAGCCTCATATAATCCAGTTCAAAGCAGATAATATGGATTATCTGCTTTGATAATCTGGATTATATGTCGTTGTAGAAGGAGCCTAAGAGCAGTTACATAGTGTAATATACTGTCTCAAAAGATGGTAGATTTTCCTTCATTGAAGACTAGATGATCTCCTAGGTTTACAGAGACAGTGTGCAAGGATTGAACTAGATGGCTTTGTGGTCATTTCCAACCTATAATTCTAAAACTCAGGAAAACCTATGGTCTTTAGTCTCTTTCACTGTGTATACTCTTTCAAAGTACTTGTAATGTTATTTTTCTATGACAAATTTCCCAAGGTCAAGAGATGTACTTTTGATGAAAAACAATTATCAGAATTTCCCCTAGTTTCATAGAAAGTTTGGGTTTCCCACTTTAAAATGTCTTATGATTCTTGTCTCAGGGAATCATGAGTAGCTGACACACCACTGCATGACCTTACTCTGTCTCCTGACCAGCAGTCACTCTTAACTCTGGAGCAAAGTTACCTAGTATCAAATAAGGGTGTCAATTCAGCTAAACCCCATGCTGTTTTCGGTGTCCAGGTTTTGGTGTGTCCATTTATCAGGAGCCTCCCAAATTCGGGCGGGAAAACTTCCATTTTTCAATCCGGCAGCCAAAATCTGTTTTCCCTCTGGGAAGATCCGGCCCATTGGCGATAATGGGGGAACTTCTGAGGCTCCCTTTCCATCATTGCTAGGGCATCAGACTTAAGAAACCATCCTTCTCCTTGTGTCCCTTAATAAGACCTAGGTTAAGGCACCAGACTTCAGAAATCACTTTTTTGTGGGGTCGTTTGCTCTCAACATCCTTTCAATAAAGCTGAGTTGAGGGTTATTTCACACTTATTTCAGGGGAAGGCACACCACCTGAAGGAGCATTAGTCATTGTTTTAAAAAGATAGAAATTGCCTCCTTCCTTGATTTATGGCGGCTTTAGAAATGGCAAGATGCCTCTACCCCACATTTCAAGCTAGTATCACTGAGAATTTAGATCACTAGCAGACTGAAGCATGATCTAGGCTTTATGGACTCCCAAAAATCCATAAGGACTCCACCCCACTCAGACCCATCGTGAGTGCCATTGGATCCCCCACGTACGATTTAGCAAAACCCATTTTCCTACTTCCAACAGACCTCACTCCCTCTGAGGATGCTTGCCATAGATGCAGGCGAAACGTCAGGAAAAAATGCCTCTAGACCATGGCCATATAGCCCGAAAAAACCTACAACAACCCAGTGATTCCGGCCATGAAAGCCTTCGACAATACATTGAAGCATGATCTGTTTCTCTCAGAAAAAATGGAGGCCCAGCTTGGCTAAAAGACATGTCATTTGCTTTCTTCTATTCTGACTGACTCAACAGGCAAGGCTCAAAGGGAAACCTCCATGCAGGTGCGCAACTGCCTCTCTGCATTCCAAGTATAGCTGAATGAAACTGAAAGTAGCAGTGGTCGGCAGCCGTGTGGTCTGTTGCAGCCGAAAAAAATGGTGTAGACTCACATGTTGTTACAACTGGCTGAAACAGCTGAAATAGCCAGAGCCCATTTTGAAAAATGAATCTGTGCACATTGCTAGTATCAAATGGACTCCTGAAAGGTCAAGAACCCCATAAACAGGAAATTTCTTAAGTGCCATCAGGAAAACATTGAAATGCAAGGGTGAATCCTTCTGTTTCTGAGAAGTTCTAAACCAGTGTTTCTCAACCTTCCTCCTGCCGTGACCCCTTAAAATAGTTCCCCATGCTTTGGTGACCCCCAACCATAAAATTGTTTCCGTTGCTACTTCATAACTGGAATTTTGCTACTGTTGTGAATCATCATGTAAATATCTGATATGCAGGATGGATTTTCATTCACTGGACCAAATTTGGCCCAAATACCCAATACACCCACATTTGAATACTAGTGGGGTTGTGTGTGTGGGGGAGATTGAATCTGTCATTTGGGAATTGTAGTTGCTGGAATGTATAGTTAGCCTACAATCAAAGAGCATTCTGAACTCCACCAATGATAGAATTGACCCAACTTGGCACACAGAACCCCCATGACCAACAGAAAACCCTGGAAGGGTTTGGTGGTCATTGACCTTGAGTTTTGGAGTTGTAGTTCACCTCCATCCAGAGAGCATTGTGGACTCAAACAATGATGGATCTGGACAAAACTTGGCATGAATGTGAACACAGGTGGAGTTTGGGGAAAATAGACCTTGACATTTGGGAGTTGTAGTTGCTGGGATTTATAGTTCACCTACAATCACAGAGCATTCTGAACCCCACCCACGATGGAATTGAACCAATCTTGGCACACAGTTCTCCCATGACCAACAGAAAATACTGGAAGGGTTTGGTGGGCAGTGTCCTTTGGTTTTGGAGTTGTGGTTTACCTGCCTCCTTGGAGACCAGAGCGGCCGAAGCAGAGGGTTCCCGCGATGGGCGGAGTGGTGCAGGGTGGGCGTGGCTAGAGAACGCCAGCGTTCCCTGGCCATGCCCACCCGGCGCCGCTGGCCACGCCCACCCGGCGCCGCTCCGGCCTTCGCGGGAACCCTCTGCTCCGGCCGCTCTGGTCTCCAAAGGACTCACCAGGGAGGCTTCTCCTTCCCACACGAGCAGAGCAGCCGGAGCAGAGGGTTCCCGTGAAGGCCGGAGCAGTGCCGGATGGACGTGGCTAGCAGCGCCGGGTGGGCGTTCTCTGGCGTTCTCTGGCCATGCCCACCCGGCGCCACGCTGCTCATTGCGGGAACCGGAGCAGAGCGTTCCCGCGAAGGCCGGAGCGGCGCCGGGTGGGCGTGGCCAGCGGCATCGGGTGGGCGTGGCCAGGCCGTGCAGGCTGCGCGGGCCGGGGAAATGCCCTCGGCGGGCCGCATACGGCCCATGGACCGTAGTTTGGGGACCCCTGAACTAGGCTATTGTCTAGTGTAGGGATGGTGATTTCCAGGTTTATCAGGGTAGTTCTGATCTAACCAGAACATGAGCATTCAATACATTTTCATAACAGTGCTCATCTGGTCCATATTCTACCCAATCAATTGGAAATTGTAGACAACAATAACACAGGTCCAGCACCTGAGCTACTTCATATTCCTCTGTACTCCCACCATTCCTGGAGAAGGCAAAGTATCAATCCTGTGTCAGCACAGGCAACCATTGCAGGGAGCAGGAGAGATCAGTCAAAATCAGAATATTCACTGCCAGTTGTAAGCTCAAGGTCACAGGATTCACTTGTGCTATTATTGGATAGGGACTTATGAAGCCAGCATCCAGTTTTGTAAAGGGGCTGATTACAAGGTAGATGGCCAGTGCAGAGTCATATCTGAATCCCTACTTTAGGCAAACCCCCCCCCCCCCCCCCCCCCCCCAGCTTTTGCTTAGTCTTGTTTGGCCAAGTCCAATTGCTCACTCAGGAATTACTGTGTGGTCTGTAACCCCGACAGCCATTCATCTACTGCAGGCATCAAAAACTGGTGAGACGTAGCTGGAAACATGGATGGAAAGTGATGTTGACAAAGAAGGTTCTGTTGAGTTGGGGTGTGGAGGGGCTCTTGCAGGTCAACTCTGGTAATGGCAACAGCTTAATGCAATTTCCTTGCTGGTAGTTGTTAGATGTTGATCCAATGTGGCTTTGATACATTCATTCTGGCCATCAAATTACAAGCTGCATACCAAAGGAAGGCAGCAGTAAAGACCATCAGCTTCTAATGACTTAGATCTTAATAAACCGAAACATTTTGTTTCTCAGAAAAATCAATTTTGAAAAAACTTCTTTTCAGATCTATGTATTGCATCTTTTCAGTTACTGTTTGTGTGCTAAGCCACAATTTACAGTCACAGGAAACACATTTTTAGATCGAAAGTATGTTCTTGATAAAGAAAAGCCTTCAAGTGTAGTCACATATTCCATTGATTGGAGTAATTGGTGCAGCACAATCCTGAGCATGTTTAGACGAGAGTCTCATTAAGATCTACAGAATTTGTCCTGATTTGGGGGAAAAGAGATGTATTTAATCCTCTGCTGTCTTGCTTTTTCAGTTGCAAAGGTTTAAAATGGGGAAGAATACAGAAAAATGGCTGCATCTGCTTTTGTTTTAGTGTATTGGGAAAAGCAAGATTGCATCCTCTTGTCTTCTCCTCACCGTGCTGAGCTAATTGGATACAAACAACTTTGACACTTTGATGTTATTTTAAAAACAATGAAAGAAAGTTGATGAGAAAGAAAGAAAGTGGTAGGAGGAGAGAGAAACTGGGATATTTTGAAGGTAGCTGAAAAAGTGGGATGATGGAGGGCAGCATGAAGGTATTTAGATACCTGAGGGGGTCACGAGGAGGTGTCAAAGAGGTTGCCAAAGACCATAAGAAACCACAGTATTTTCTGTTGGTCATGGAGGTTCTGTATGGGAAGTTTGGCTCAATGCTATCATTGGTGGGGTTCAGAATGCACTTTGATTGTAGGTGAACTATAAATCTCAGCCACTACAACTCCCAAATGTCAAGGTCTATTTTCCCCAAACTCCACCAGTGTTTTTATTTAGGCATATTGAGTATTCATCCTAAGTTTGGTTGAGATCCATCATTGTTTGAGTCCACAGTGCTCCCTGGTGAACTACAACTATTTGGGCGTATCAGATATTTGTGCCAAATTTGGTCCAGTGAATGAAAATATATCCTGCATATCAGATATTACATTACGATTCATAACAGTAGCAAAATGACAGTTATGAAGTAGCAATGAAAATAATTTTATGGATGGGGGTCACCACAAAATGAGGAACTGTATAAGGGGTTGAGGCATTAGGAAGGTTGAGAAATACTGTTCTAGAGACTAGGATGTGGGACAGTGGATTCAAATTGCAGGAAAAGAGATTCACCTTAAACATTGAAAAGAACTTCCTGATGGAAAGAGTTGTTCAATCGTGGAATACGCTGCATCAGAATGTGGTTTTCTTCTTGGAATGTTTTTAAATAGGAGCTGGATGGCTATCTATCAGAGATGCTTTGATTACATATTCCTGCATGAAATATTGGGGTTGGAGTGGATGGCCCCTGGGTCTCTTCCAACTCTATGATCCTACCATTTTTCTTAACTTCTCTCTCTTTCCTTTTTTTTCCCTTCTTGTACAACATTTGCATTTCTTTTTGTAGTTCTTTTCTCTTCTGGACCCCTGCATCCTGTATCCATTTCTCTTTATTGACAACTTCTCCTCTGGCTTGCACCATCCTTCAGCAGTCCATTTCCTGGACCCCTGAATGCCATCCCTGCCATCAGGATTATTTGATTAAAAAACAGAGCTAACTGGCTGGTAATTTTCTCCATTTGTAGGATTGACTTTCGAGTGCTAGTGACAATTCAAAGGAGGACTTTAAACTCCTTTAAGGTTCCCAAAGGAACTGAGGGCTACACTTTGACCACCTCTGTTACAGTAGTTCAGACAATACCGGGGCATGAAGCATACATAGGATTTCCAGATTTCTGGGACTTGCCTCATGTGTATACTTCTGTGCATATATTTTCCTCATTGGTTAAATAGGGTATTTTTATGTGCATGACATACTCTCTGCAAAATCATAATGAACTTAATGACATCACCAGGGACTGTCCCTTGTAGCAACACAAGGAGTTACCCCAAGGTCTTATGTTTAGTTTATCACAAAGGCAAGGCATAAAGAAGGGAGATCACGAGATTATTGTATTTTTGTACAATAGCAAGTCCAACCTCTGTAGTAACAAGCATTCCTGCTTTTTAAACCATATTTAACAGAGATATTTTTTTATCCTCTGGTAAACATCCTCTACAGCTGGCTTTACCTGTTTTTGTTCTGTGTTGAAAGACCAGGTACAAAGCAATGAGGTCCTTAGATTTAGCATGAGATTTGATATGACTGAAAGCCAGCATGGTGAAGTAGTTTGAGTGTTAGATTGCAACTCTGGAGATCATAGTTGAAAACCTCCTTGGCCATGGAAACCCACTGGGTGGCCTTGGATAACTCATAATCTTTCAGCCTCAGAAGAGGGCCAAGGCAAAGTCCCTTTAAAAACAGTGCCAAAAAAAAAAACCCCACCCTTATGACAGGTTCAGTTTAAGGTTATCGTTTGTCAAAAAGAACTAGAAGGAGGCTTCTATCTGCTTTACACAAAAGCCTCACTTCTTTATCATAACTGCCGCCCTCACAACACATGACAGATGGAGCATATGGCTTTCTGTTTTACAAACAGATCACAAGTAAAGAAGCCTGTTGATTAATGATTATTGCTGATGTATAAAAGCAACAAATTATATTGGTTTTTCTACTTTGATGCACATTATGGGCTATATAATAACATTTGCACAGCTGCTGAGCTCTCACAAAACTTATTCCTATAGGATCATTTTAACCATTTCTTTTCTGCTTGATCTGATGAGGATGGTTTGAGTGTAGAAGCAGCAAAGAAAGGGGTGATTTTGCCCCTCATCTATTTCCCTGCTACAAATTGCACTTCCCCCAAATATGTTATTCTTTTGTTTGGTTTCCAGCCTGTATTGTGACCCTACCTGGGTATGTGGGAAACAATTACTAGGAGCAATGTGAACATGAAAACAGAGGACCAAGTTGAAATGAGGAGACAGAAAACTCAACCAACCAGTGGAAATATCTTATTAAGCCCAGTTCATTTGGAGTCAGCAAGCGTATTTTTATATTATTGTTGCCAGTCAGTGTAGAGAGAATATTGATCTAGATGGGCCAATGTTCAGATCTGGTATTATAGTAGAGAAACCTTTGGCAGAGAAGGCTGATGATCTCTCCGCCTGTCTCTTCCTTTTGGGAAACACAGCAAATCCTCCCACCAAAGGCCCTCCTCAGCTGTGATTGGCCAGCCTCTCAGCCAAGGGGAGGGCTGTTTCTAAGACTCCAAATGGGGAGGGGAGAGCAGGCGTGCTCAGCACATGGCAGTGTGGAGTGCATAGGTGGGCGAGGAGAGTGCACAAGGCTGAAGGATGGCTCATGCCAATGAGTCCCTTCAAGACATGGGGGTTCTGTGTGGGAAGTTTGGCTCAAACCAGAATGCCCATTGATTGTAGGTGAACTATAAATCCCAGCAACTACAACTCCCAAATGTCAAGGTCTATTTTCCCCAAACTCCACCAGTGTTCACATTTGTGCATATTGAGTATTCGTGCCAAGTTTGGTCCAGATCTCTCATTGTTTGAGTCCACAGTGCTATCAGGATGTAAGTGAACTACAACTCCACAACTCAAGGTCAATGCCCACCAAACCCTTCCAATATTTTCTGTTGGTCATGGAAGTTCTGTGTGCTGAGTTTGGTTCAAATCCATCGTTGGTGGAGTTCAGAATGCTCTTTGATTGTAGGTGAACTACAAATCCCAGCAACTACAACTCCCAAATGACAAAATCAATCCCCTCCAACCCCACCAATATTTAAATTTGGGCATATCAGGTATTTGTGCTAAATTTGGTCCAATGAATGAAAATACATCCTGCATATCAGATATTTATATTACGATACATAACAGTAGCAAAATTATAGTTATGATGTAGTAACAAAAATAATTTTATGGTTGGGGGTCACCACAACATGGGGAACTGTATTAAGGGGTCATAGCATTAGGAAGGTTGAGAAACACTGAGCTAGTAGATGCCAAGATCTGTGTTATTGCGGTTTTACTGAGGAACATGAACTACATTTTGTGTTGGTGAGTTTTCAGGGGTGTTCCAGATGAGCTGAATTGGAAACTATTTATATGGACAGACACTGAAGCCTTGACCCCACCTCAGCAGTGTATTGTGGTATAGTACTGAGAGGGATTGACTATAGGTTGAGCATCCCTTACCAGAATTCGGAAATCCAAAAAATCCCAAAATTGTCCATGATGGGTGGCTAATATGGTGGCACCTTTTCTTTTGGATGGTTCAAAATACACACATTTGATTTCATACACAAAACTATTACAAACATTGTGTATAAAATTACCTTCTGGCTATGTGTGTAAGATGTCTATGGAACAGAGTGAATTTTGTTTTTAGACTGGGGTTGCATCTCCAAGATATTTCATAATGCATATGCAAGCCATTCAAAATCTGAAAAAATCCAAAACAAGGAACACTTCTGGTCCCAAGCATTTGGGGTATAGGACACCACCTGAGAGCTAGAGTGCTACAGGGTGTATGAGTACAGGCACTGATGCAGCATAACAGGAAATGTTTTGCATAACATCTCATGTTTTGCATTATAATTTGACCTCATTTCTGTTTTTTCCACTTCCTATGGTGAAACTTCACCACTTTTTCTCTCTCTTTGTTGTTCTTTCGTTTTGCCAGACTTTTGTATCTCATTTAATTCTGCTTTTCTTTATATTTTTTCTAGCTTTTTCATGTGACAGAAAGTTGCCAGAGCTGTTTGTTGCTTTGGACATTTCATAGAGCAAGAGTTGGAAGAGGCCACATGGGACATCTAGTCCAACACCCTGCCATGAAGGAAAAGCACAGTTAAAGCACCCCTGACATTTGGCCATCCAGCCTTTCTTTTAAATCTTCAATGAAGCAGCCTCCATCCCACTCTGAGACAGAGGGTTCCACTGTTGAACAGCTCTCACAGTCAGGAAGTTCTTGCTATTCTTCAGGTGGAATTTATTCTCCTGTAATTTGAACCCACTTCTCTGAATACTTTTTTCCAGGGCAGCAGAAAACAAGCACCAATCCTCAGAAGCAACCCATAAACACATACCCTCACCCCCTGCTGCCATCTGCTTTCATATATATTTTGTATTTAAGCATTCAGGGATACATCCACACTGTAGAACCTATGCAGTTTGATCCTACTTTAACGGCCATGGCTCAATGCTATAGAACTCTGGGAGATGTAGTTTGGTGCTTAAAGACCTGATAAAACTACAACCACCACAACTCCATAGCATTGAGCCATGGCAGTTAAAGTGGTGTCAAGCTGCATTAGTTCTACAATGTAGATGCACTCTAGGTAACTGATAAAGGATTTATCAGTTACTTGGGTTTGTAATTGGTTAAGTGAACGAACCCAGAGGGTGCTCACCATTGCTTCCTCTTCATCCTGGAAAGAAGTGACAAGCGGAGTGCTATATGCAGGGTTCTGTCCTGGGCCCGGTCCTGTTCAACATCTTTATTAATGACTTAGGTGAAGGATTCGAAGGTATGATCACCAAGTTTGCAGATGACACCAAATTGGGAGGGATAGCCAATACTCCAGAGGACAGGAGCAGAATTCAAAACGATCTTAACAGATTAGAGTGATGGGCCAAAACTAACAAAATGAAGTTCAACAGT